ACATCTCGCCGAAGTCCAAGAGCTTCACCTGACACGATACGCTGCTACTACTAGAAGTTGTGAATAACGCTATACTGACCTCAATGGAGTCGCCTTCCCTAGTATGCGACAGAGATATGATCCCATTCTGGTCCCCTCGCAGCACTAATTTCAATAAGTGAGCACTGGCCAGCCCTGCAACTTGGTACCTGCAAGATCGGTATGAACTAGGCAGGGAAGCTGACGACAACCGAGCGGGGCTTAGCAGGACTGACGGGACAAGTGGAGATCCACAGCCTCACCGTAGGATGGGCCGATCAGTCGTGGCCCGAGGATCGCTCTCGAAGACCGTGAGAATACCACTCCCACCACGTGATAGAGGCATCTCCACTTCACGATGGAACTGCAGCTCTCCTCCAGCTGGCGCTATCACCGTGCGCTCATCTGAACGACCATCCAGCAATCTATGACTCCTGACAGGGCATACGAACATCGTAACGACGTCTTACCCGAGCCATCCCATCCAATAGAATAGCTTCGATGGTGGCCATCCTCGAGCCATATACGCCGATTCCCTTTGAGACTAGCGTCGCGCACGATGAGTGAATGATTAGAGGCACAGATGGCTGCACCCTTGCTGGCTGCCTCATCACCATTCAAATGCCGTCCCAGAGGGATTCTACGACCAGCTAGCATCATTACCTGTCCAACCGTGTGACCGTGAAGCGTGGCAATGCCTCCAAGTCACCTGTGCCTCAATATGCTGCTGTACTGCTGGTATCCTGGAGCCTCCTCCAATGAGCTCAATTCCCACAACGCCCTCCCATGATAACTTCCCTATCAGCTCGTCGATCCTTCCCATCATGTCCTTGTTGATATTCTCGAATTCTCTCCGCGTCAACTTCATTGACAAGTCGTCGCCATTATACAGCGACTCACCGTCAATGTCGCCTCATGGTTCGCACTGAGTACTCCCCTCACAGTCGCCGCCTGCAGCTCAAGTCGTCTCCTAGCCTTATCCCTAGAAAGCCCTGTTGGTATCGCGCCATGAATGCTCTCAAAAC